CTGGGGATGTGGCTCAAGTGGTAGCGCGGTCGCCTGGCATGTGTGCAGCCCGGGTTCAATCTTCAGCACCACCTACAAACAAAGATGTTGTGTCCGCCGAAAACTAAAAAATATTAAAATTCCCTCTCTCATCTCTCTCTCTCTTAAATAAATAAATACATAGATAAATAAATAAATAAAACTACCATATAGCAATCCCACTTCTGAATATACATTCAAAGAAACAATCTAAATATCTGTCAACAGGTGAATGAAATAGCATTCAGTTTTTAAAAATAAGGAAATCCTGATATTTGCAATAACATGGATGAATCTGGAGGACATGCTAAGGAAAAACTAAATAAGCTACAGAAAGACAAATCCTGCTTGATTACTTATATATGGACTCTGAAATAGTCAAAACTCATAGAAACAGTAGAATGGTGGTTACCAGAAGCTTAAGGGAAAGGGAAATTTTGTGAGGCTATAACAGAATACCTGAGTTTGGATAATTCATAAAGAACAGATTTATTTCTTATAGTTCTGAAAGCTGGGAAGTTTAAAATTAAGGGGCTCACATGTGACAAGGGCCTCCCTGCTTCATCATTTCACAGATGGAAGGTAAAAGGGCAAGACAGCACTAAAGAGCAAGAGGGGCCTTCTATAACAAGCCCATTCCCAGGATAACATTTATTAGGCCAAGTCCTCATGGCCTAATCACATCTTAAAGGTCCCATTTCTCAATGTTGTTGCACTGGGGATCAAGTTTCCAACACATAAGCTTTGAGGGCACATTCAAACTACAGAAAGAACGATGTTGGTCAAGAAGTGCAAAGTTTCAGTTGTACAAGGTAAGTTCTAGAGATCTAACACACAGCAAAGTTAACTATCATTAACAATATTGTATCATATATTTGGAATTTACTAAGCTTGTAGATTTTAAGTGTTCTCACCACAAAAAGAAAAAGGTAATAAATATGCTAACTAGCTTAATTGTGGTGACTATTTCACAAAGTATACGTATATCAAATCATTAAGTTGTACATCTTAACTATATACAATTTTTATTGTCAATTATATTTCAATAAAGCTGGAAAAAAGAATTACTTACCACATTTATTTTTATTTTTATACTGAACAAAGGTAATTAATTGAATATATGCTATTTCAAATACTATTCTAAAAAAGAAAAGTCATGGCCTCATGTTTTAGGTCTCACTAGGACAGATCATCTCATTGAAGAGAATGTACTTAATAAACCTACATGCAAAATATCATGAAAATCATTTCATTAATACAATAAACTCTTTAACCTAGGATATTAAGAATGATCTGGAGGCCTCCTCTCTTTTGGAGTTTAATTCTGATACTGCTATTACTTCCTTTCATGAACCTACTTTTACAGTTCCATTTCTTCAAATTTAAGGCAATAAATCTATTTTAAAAGATTGCTTTGATTTATCCAAGCAGCTGCTGGTGATTTAAAACACGATCATGATTAAATTCAGCAGACCCATGACACAGACACACAATGCAGCAAAACCACTTGTGAAAAACCATAGTATAATATCACCCAGGTATGCAGCCACAAGGAAGGAGGAAAAATTTTGTTAGAGGTCAATGAAGTAAAAAGGATAGAACCAAAAACAGGGCTACCACATTATTGGTTAAAGCCAAACACATAATCTGCATACCTGAAATGCTTTGTGTAAAATTAAGGTGAAAGTAAATGATATTTTCCTATTCTCACAGTTACCAGGGCGAGGGAGTTTTAAACGTCATAGAGTAGAGTGGATACCAAGTTAAGATCTGGGTTCAAATCCTGACTCTAACATTTTCTTGTTCAGATGACTTTGGAAAAATAATAAACTTGATAAGCTTCAATTTTCTCAGCTGAAACTTGGGTTCACAATAATAAATTACCAATGATAATACAGGTTCACAAAATAACAATATCTACTTCATGGGATCGCTGGAAGTTTAAATAAAATAATGCTTATAAAACATACAGTAAATGATCTATAACTATAAACTATCCTTTCCTGAAAATGATCACCAACTTCATGAGGCTTGTGCATTTAAAAATATCCTCTCTGCCAGAATTATTCAAAGTGTTTCAGAAAATTAAGGATTTATGTAAAATTTGCAGGAAGAAAATAAAATTACTTGAGGAATTTTATGAGTAAGGCTGTCATTTTTTAACTTTGTTGTTCTCTTGTTATTTATCTGAAAAAAAATTATAGTTCTTTATTTCAGAATTGATCATTAATTTTATTTAACATTACATGCTAATTACTGTCTTAAACATTACAGTATTTTATTTAATTCCATGAGATGGATATCCTCATTTTACACACAATGAAAGTTTAGAGAAGGTAAATATCTAAGGTTATAAAGCAAGGAGGTGTCAGAAGTAGAACTCAAACTTGGATCACATGGACTTACGTGTCTTTTCCCTCTTTTCCCATAATTCACTCTCCCCAGGTAAAAAAATTTATTACATATGTCTTACCTGACCTGAAGAAGAACAAAGTTTGTAAAAGGAGAGAAATATTATACAATTCTAACCTCCCATAACTTTGAACCTTAAACTTAAATTTTAATATTTGCTTATTTTATCATCCCTTGTACACATTCTAAGCCACAAACCAGTATATTTTTTGTTAACATTTGCTTTACATTTATGTCACTGTAACATTGTTGATGACAGACTTGTTGCTTTGCTATGTAAAGATTTTATTCATTAAGTTCGAAAATATTATTATTACTCAAAGTACTAAACATAATCCAACTCTAGTAAAACCTCCTGGAGTTGTCAGATGTTTTCTTATTGTCACTGATATATGTAAAAATGGGATCCCCCCCACAGCCCAGGTAACACAGTCTTAGATTTGCTTTTCTGATCCACAGAGGGAAAACATACATGCACATAAGCTTTTTAAAATTTGGAGAAAGGAGATTTGAAGAAATACATTCTGATCCATTCATCTTTCCTCGTGAAAAAGGATTAAGGCTGGGGCTCAGTGGCAGAGCACTTGCCTCACACGAACAAGACACTGGGTTTGATCCTCAGTACCACATAAAAATAAACACATAAAATAAAGGCATGCTGTCCATCTACAACTACAAAAAAAACAAAAAAAAAAAAGGATTAAAAACCAAGTACAAAAATAAATCAGATCTGAGTATGGGCAGGGAAGGAAGGACAAAAGAACAGGATGCAACCATTCCAGTGTTGCTCTAATGAGGAGTTTCTGGGTCAGTATTCATCAATGGGAAACGTTATCCATAATTTTTTTATTCCGTTTAAGCCATGAATATCAGAGTTTTTAATCTGTTGGCACTGTTTCTTTAAATGAATCATGGTGCTCTAGCAATTCAGAACATGTATTCTTTTTTTTTTTTTTGAAGAGAGAGAATTTTTAATATTTATTTTTTAGTTTTGGGCGGACACAACATCTTTGTTTGTATGTGGTGCTGAGGATCGAACCCAGGCCGCACGCATGCCAGGCAAGCGTGCTACTGCTAGAGCCACATCCCCAGCCCAGAACATGTATTCTTATATTTAGATTTATCGTCAGCTTTTAGTTTCAAACTAGAAATCAATTTCAGAATTAACGACTTCTAAGGGGAAAAAAGTTATTTTATTATACACACATACAGAAATTGTTTCAAGTTCTGAAAGATCACAATGCCATTATTTTTTTTTTCCAGTATTCACTTTGGAACTTCCAAGGTAACAATTCTCTAACCCCTGAGACAGTTTTTGCCTTTTGAGGGATCAGAATCCCCATAATTCAAAACACCTGATGATTACATTGGAGGAAAAAAAATCTACACTTGTCCTTAAAAAATAATCTTCATCTAGTGGTTTTACCATGGGAGTCACAAAATTATCTGTAACTCAGTGGAAAAAATCCTGAAAAAAATAAATTAACCACTTTTCACAGTCCCTTTGAATGTTTTTAGAAAACTTCCAGAGATCAGTGAAACAGATCATCATAGCTACTGACCAAAGGAAAATTTATTTTCTATGATGCAACACTCTGGCCACAATACCACTTCACAATAAAGCCCACAGAAAGTCAAAAGGCGTAAACTAAGATTCTGGTCTAACCTAACATACAAGTCAGGGCATCTCAGGCCTCAATTTCCTCACTTGTAAAATTAAGGGAGTTATTCATTCAACCTTGGTTGAATTCCTACCATATGCCAAATCCTGTGTTAGTAACAGAAATTTGTTACTTGGCTTTTGTTTTATGTAAATAAAACCATGATCATTGCCTTTGCAAAGCTCTTTAATCATGTGAAGAGGAAAATAAATGCAACATGATAACTACTCTGAACAAACTTTTATGCTATGCAGACTAAAAGGACTACAGAGGAAAGCAGTCAGTTGAGCAGAGACTTGAAGAATAAATATGAATTGCTGAGTTAGAGATGGGGATTATGGATATTCCTTAAAGAACGAACACACTGGGTCTAGACAAGAAAACAAAGAGTAAGAAAGAGACTTATATAGATCATGCATAGACTGGTTTTCAGAGAAAACTGGTGGGAGATAAGCGCTTTATACAACACATTGAGAAATCTGATATTAAAAGTCCTTCTACTCTAAGAACCTGGAAATTGTGGGCCCAACAAGATGAATTCAATTCTCCACCATTTCATTTGAAGTAGTGAGTCTCTTTAAGCAACAACAAACAAAAAAAAACTATCCAAGTTTCTAAATTTTGATGCTAATATTATGCAACCTAAAAAAACCTCTTAACTGACAAATTTTAGGACACCTGTTATTACTACCATTTTAGTAAAGTATTCCAAAAGCAAAATATATAACAAGGGATTTGTTTGTGCTTTTTATCAAATACAAACTTTAAAACAATAAGGTGTAAAAATTATAAGCAAATATTAAATTTATATTCCTCTAAAAATGCTATCTCATACTTTGTTCAAGTAAAGCTTCACTATGAATATCAATTATCTAAAAGTTCCTTAAAAGACATGAAGTCTAAATTTACCTGTGTTCTGCAGGAACAGGAGGCGGCCAAACAGCAGGATCTCTAAATGGTTCTTCTTGACAAGACACAGGGAAATCTGGGGGCTTGTCAATTTTAAAACTTTCTAAAGTGCTGACAATACTTTTAACTTGTTCATATTCTTCCAACAATTCCTGCCGGACCTTAAAATAAAATAAAATAAAAAAAAAAGAAAGACTTTATGCTAGAAAACTTTCTAAAGTTTTTATAGACTGTAAATAATTAATTGCAAGTTTTTAAAATGTCATTCAAGGTATGCAAAAATGAATCACTAGAAAATATCACAACAACCACTTTAAACAAAAAAAAACTATTCAGAGTAATATACAGAGAAAGGCAGAGATTGATTTGAAAAAAGACAAAGTTACATACCTTTTCATACGGGAAGTAATTATTTATTTACCATAATGAAACTTTCTTTGTACTAGACTATGATGATCATTAATACAATTTAAAACAAGCAATGTAAATTAGTCACAAGTTAACCATTCCCCAAAATCTGTTATGCTAATCCTTTTAGTATATTTGTAAATAGAATCCAAAAACTTGTCAGCCAAAATTTTCAGAATTTCCTGAGCCCAATATCAGTATGATATGCCTGCCATGAGTTTCTGAAAGTGTGAAGCACTGTAATATTATAAATTACTCAAGTCTGATTCTTTCAGCCTAAATTCTTTCATTTATTTTAACTCAAGATTCCCCCTACATTTAAAAAACGTAACTGAGCACCTATTGTGGAAATTATTGTTTACAAATTCTGAACCCACATTGATTTTCAAAATAAACAGTTAAAGATTAAAAATTATTATAAATTCATCTTAACAATTCTACTGTTTTTAACCAGAAAGCACATGTTACTGTAAAGCATAACATAAGACATTTTCCTTTGTCTTTAGCTTGAACAACATAATGAAAAGAATATATAAAGAAGTTACAGAACCAAAGAAAAATCTAATCTAGGTGAAATTCAACTGCTAACATATGCAATTACATAATATGCTATACTAAGAGAAATGAACCTTCAGAACCTAATGGAAAGAAACAACAGAAATATCTGAACAGAAATGGCCACTAACACACACAAACCATTCTGCCTGGGGTAGTACAAAGAACAGAACTAAAATTTTCAGCCAAAGTTAAAGCAACCATGGTGTTCTCATTCAACATAATCCGGTAACACTTAAGTTTACCCTCGAAATTTCCCCTCAAAATTTAGCAGAACACTAATTTTTGACTAGTGGAAAAAAAAATCATCAGACATACTTGAAAGGCATTAGCACATGGAATGGAAACTTCAAAGAAAGGCTGACTTTGTACTTTTAATTTTAAAAGGATTTTAAGTCTTAACAATAATTGGAAAACTTATAATTCAAGTTTTTATTATATAATCAAGTTGTATAGTCAAGAGACTGCAAATATGTTAATGTTTTTATTAGATTACTGATTCATTTGGATTTTTAAGAAGCCTTTCAAGAAAAAAAAAGTTTAACAAACTATGTCAAAACTACTTGTAAAAATGAAAAACAGAAAGGGCAAGTAGAAATACATCACTTCAAAAATGTGTAGTCAGGCAACACTCATGAAAATTGAAAAAGTTAAAAATAGATTAAATTAAAGTTAAATATCTTCAAAATATACCTTATAAAATACATCATCAAAAACAGATAAACTATTAACTCGATAAGACATCAGAAAGAGTACTTTGAAATGTATTCAGACAAATAAGAACTACTTACAAAATCTCAAACTAATTTTCTGACTCTCATCTCTCAAATATAATAAACCACTGCACCCTAATTCATCAAATGCCTTAACGGGATCTTACCTGATGCCATTTGCCTTTGATGGCTGGGTCTCTGACTGACTGGCAATGTCTCTGAATCTGCTGTATTACCCCCTGGTAATACACCATTGATGAGTCGTAATTTCCAAGAAGTGCATATTCTCTTCCTTTCTTTGCATTGTCACAAATCTCAGCCAAATTCATCTTATTTCAGAGACCTAAACGTAAAATGTGATGACTTTTTAAATGTTTTTAGCACTGACTTTAAAATGTTTTTTAAGGAAATGGGAAGACACTGGGAAGTAATATTGACCAAAGTATATTTTGTACATGTGAATATATAACAAGAAATCCCAAAACTATATGTTATTATAATGTTCCAATAAAAATTTTCAAAAGTTTTTTTTATTTTATCATTCTTTAAAATATCTGCTTGAAACTACTTTGAAAGTCAAAATAGTTATATTTCATTCTTTGAGGTTACCTGAAATCATCTTATAATACTGAACAAAATTTCCAATTTGGAAAGAACACCCAAGGAAACAGGAGGGAAAGAACTTACACAGCTCTACACTATCGAATTATCTGAAGGCACATGAATTGGACACTAGTTTTCCTTGCTCATTTATAATCATCAAAAACTACAATAATAGTAAAAATGACTTTGCTTTGCTTTATTCAATTTGTTCTTTACAACATAGAAATAAACATATGAATGTCACATACATATATGAATATGTTACAGTTTCCACTGATGTCAGTTAAAACTACAGAAAATTGGTTTCCACTGAGACTTTTTGGACTCAAGAGGAAGCAAGTCATACATACAGAACACATCCAAAAAACAGTCTATGCTATCATGCATTTAATTAGCCCATACAACTTAAATCTAAACAAAAAACAATGAATTAAACTGTGAACCTTTTTCTGCATCTCAACTTGTAATCTCTTACAATCTTGTATTTCTCTATAGCTTTTGGCGGTCCAAATGACCATCATTAATCTTTCTTTTCTATAAGATGGTAGGAAGAATACCTTCTAAACCTCTGGTTTCCACCAAAGCCCTTGAGCCCAGTAATTCTGGCTTTTCTCCAGGCTTCCCAAAAGACTCCTAGAATCATCTATGGCTTCTATGAAAAAATACTTTCTTCCCCAATACCACAAGAATAGAAGTCCAAAGACACAGAAGATGATATCCTGGGCAAGAATCCAAATTGCACTTCTTTATTTCCTGGAACAGTAAACCAATGAGTCTACCCAGGAGAGAACATCAAAATATTTCTCTATGGCTGACTTTGGTTTGGGTAACTTGACTTCTCCTGACTCTGAATATTTTATGTATTCTTAAGGGGCTCAAAAAATTCTTCTGCAAAATTAACCATAACAAGTTCTAAGTGTATCAACTGGCCAGTACATTCTTAAAAGCAGTTACTTGCTTTCTGTATTTTAAAATACTATTTGCCACTTATTCAAGTATAAGTTCCTTGAAGGCAGCATTATTTTACTTGGGAATTATACTTGAGTAAACAACACACTACTTCTATGCAGTAAGAAATTTCAATGTTCCAGTGGATTTAGCCACAGAACACAAGACAATCATGGAAAATCTCTTGTCCAACTTTAGAACATTAACACAAAACACTAAGGTTTAGGGCTGGGGATGTGGCTCAAGCAGTAGCGTGCTCGCCTGGTTTGCGTGCGGCCCAGGTTCGATCCTCAGCACCACATACAAAGATGTTGTGCCCACCGATAACTTAAAAAAAATAAATTAATGTTAAAATTCTCTTTCTACCTCTCTCTCTACCTCTCTCTCTCTCTTTAAAAAAAAAAAAAAAACTAAGGTTTCATTATAGTGACTAAGCTGCAATTAATCAGTTCAGTGGAAACAAAGCAGCACCATATATTATTTTCTTCTAAAGTCACTGGGAGACAAAATTAATTAGCATTATTTCTGCTAATAAGTGCAAGTATACAACCATATAGGATTTTTTAAAAATCTTGATGTAAAGAAAGGGACAGCAAACATTTTCTATAAAGGTCTAGACTGTAAATATTCACAAGCAAAACAGAAGACATTATGTAAGTACTTAAATAAGACGACAAAAATTGCCATATTTTCAAGGATGAAATTTGAAATATTATAATACTAATAACAGAGCACAACTTTATGTAGGACAGGTCTCCTAATAAGAAGCATAGAACTCTTTCTAGGGTTAATAATTTACTTAGAATTCAAAGTTAGTGTTTCCTAGCATTAAAATCACTCACAAATGCTCCTGTGTTATTAGTGCTGATCTTTAATAAGATTTTACATATTTCATCTTGGAAAATATCTTTTTTCAAAAAGTACCACTTATGCACTGCCACATATTGATATCAAATCACAAGCATATGATTTCCATTCAGCATGTTCACTGTTTGGAAGGCATTTAAAGAATTTATTCTTCTCTTGGTATTTACCTTTTAGCATATCAGTACACTGCAAATTAAGCACTTCCAATAAAGGTTAAGCAGAAAAGTACCTCTACTGCACACCCAAATAGATTTTGTAATAAGGAAATTTCCTTGCAATTCCATCAGAGACTGAAAAATTCAGCTAAAACTAGCTTGAGCTCTGGTAAACATATCTACAATAACGCTGGGTGGGAATGGAGACCTCGCTTCTTAGTTTTAAATTTTGACAGCATGGAAAGATACATAAAACAGCTTGATATTACTTGTAATTCAAACATTAGTTAGCATTGAAATAACTTTACCATGGTATTAACTTCAATAAGCACTGTTCTGTCTTGTAATTTTAGGTTGGATTCATTAAGAAACATTATCAAGTCCACAGCAAACACTGATTTCTAACACATTCGGTGTTCCATAATAGTAATTGACAGCAGTTCCTCTCATTCAGAAAAAAATTTAATCTCAGCCCTAAGCTTAAAAGTTCACAATAAACCTTATTGTTAAGCCACCAAAATGCTGGAGGTAAGTGAGAATACTCCGTTTCTAACAAAAATTCATGGAACTGACAATTAAGACAGACCACAAGAGTAAATGCTAAAACTGGTCATTTATCACACAACAGACTTAAATATTCTCTACAAAATACCTAAGAAATACACAAAAAATAACCATAAACTTTAAATATCTTACATTTCGGCAGTTTAAAAAATTTTCCACCTGAGCTTATTTCTGTTCTACCCAAATTTTTACCACCATCAGTTCTAACATATCTTAGCAGATTCCACTTGAGGTAAAATGGAATTAGTGTTTTAACCTTTTGAAAATATTCTTGTCTGTTAAGACATTTTTCCCCACACACATCCATTAAGATTAATTCTTCAATAACTTCAAACTCAGCATTGACTTCTTAAATAAACAACAACTGAGCAGTACTGGTAACATCTACCAACTCATCAAGAGCCAAGGAAAACCACTCAAAATCATTTGCCTTGTTTTTTAATTGATTAATGATGTCCCCAACTCTTCGAGCAACTGTTCATGCCAAAAGGCTAATAGTTTTAAACAAGTTTATTTTCTCCAGACACAATTCTGTGCCTGCTGCAATCCAACATAATCTAGTTAATCCATCATTGGTAAACAACTTCCTTACTTGATTAACAAATGAGCCACTTGGAAATTCACTCTGGGTGCTGCCACCTCATTTTCATTTTTAAATTTTGTGATGAAATTCTACTGGAATAAGATATTCCTTTTTAAGTTTCTACATTTCCTAACCAATACTTTTTCTCATGAGTTGAGATTTCTATGACGAGTGCTTCATCTAGTAGTGTCAGTCTATGCTGTATTTCTTTAGCATAGCTACAGCGTCGCTGCGTAATAACATAATGCTTTGTCATCTAATTCAATAATCCACACTCCACTATGTCTTAAAAGCATAACATTCCAAGTTTATTTTTTCATCATTTCTTGTTTTGACATTATAGGTGTATACACTGATAAAACATAAGAGCATAAAGTGCGTACAGTATGGCACTTGAAACACTGATTACAGTGCACCAAAAAGTAGTGAAAGCACTGAGAATGTCACATCTCTGACACAATTACTCAACTCTACCACTCCAGTACAGAAGCAGCCACAGACAATACATAAGCAACTCAATATGGCTGCATTGCAATAAAACTTTACTTAATAGACACTGAACTCTGAATTCATTTAATTTCTACATCACAAAATATCCTTTTTGATTTTTTAAACCATTTTTTAAAATGCAAAAATCATTCCTAGTTCATGGGCCATTCAAACAGCATGCTGGGTTTGGCCCATGGACTCAGTTTGCTAATTATTATATATAGTTTCTATATTTATAATCTCATGTGGGAAGGAAATTAAACCTAAGAGAAGAAGTCAATGAAATAAAAACAGAAAAACAATAGAAAACACTAATGTGATTAAAAGTAAGTTTTTCAGAAAGATCAGTAAAATGAAAAGCCTCTAATAAGGCTGGCCAGGAAATAGAAAAAAAAAAAAAAACCACTACCAATATAAGATGAAAGAAGGTTATCACTATAATTAGAGATACTAAAAAGCAAAAGATAGCTTAATGAAACACAAATTCTTTGATAGTCAAAACATACCAACATACCAAAACTTATTTGAAAGGAGTTAACTTATATAAATCTACTTGCCCTATATCAATGAATAAATTGAATTTGTAATTTAATTCTTCCTCCCCCAAAAGATATTCCAGATCCAAATAGCTCTACTAGTGAATTCTACAAAGTACTTAAGGAAAAAAATAAACAAATTATAAACAAACACTCCCAGAAAATAACACTTCTGACTCATGAGAATGTGTGGTAGGTAGGTTGGAACTCAGGGACACTACACCACTCCAGCCCTTTTTATTTTTTCTTTTGAGAACTGGTTTCACTAAGTTGCCCAGGCTGGCCTCAAACTTGTGATCCTCCAGAGTAGCTAGAACTGCGGTCATGTACCACTGCACCAGTCTTAACATATCTTCAAGCCAGCATTACCCTGACACCAAAATCAAAAACATTATAAGAAAACTGCAAACCAATATCCTCATGAACATAGACACAAAAAATCTTTAAATTTTAATCAATCCAGTAATATATAAAAAGGATAATGACCCAATGGGATTTATTCTAAAAATTCAAGATGGTTTATATTTTAATATCAGTCAAATAATATTATGAAAACATAAACAAAACATTATATCAGCAGATGCAGAATTTGATAAAA